TGAAACTTATAGTTTTCCATAGCATTTTTTATTGTAGTTTGTGTAGAAGAATACAGCTTTTCCATAACTTTTATGAAACTATCTGGATTAATTAAGTGGCAACTTTCTATTTATTATACTTACATTTCCAACTCTCTATAGAGCTTTTACTGTGTGAAGAGATGATTAGCAATTATAAAGCACCTTTTCTTTGTTAAATGCTATCATTAAAAAAAACTGTTATTGTTACTTGGAAAATTGCATTTGATTTTTACAAGGTTCACATATTCTAATAATATGTTTGGGTTATAATTGGAGACATAGTTATGGGCTGTAAGGATGACCTGTGAAACAGCATATGACACTGAGAAATTGAGATTTAACTTACATGATAATTAGTGTATTTTTGTAAAACATGAAAACTATATTAAGTAATCTTCTGAATAATTTTAAAATTCATTTGATATTCTTTATTTAGAATATTGAATATTCACAGGAAAATTATCTTTCACTTATGAAAGAGAGAAGAGAAGGATTACAGCAGACCAGCCCCACTGCTGGAGACTTCAAGTCTCCAGCAGTGTTCTTTTAGTGTTGTGTATGTTTATGAACTTTGATTCTGTGATGTTATATAGTCTCAATACAAGTGCAAAATGAGCAGTTATTTATGGCTGTTAACTTAAACTTATTTAAGTTCGCTCTGACTGGGACAGTTTCATGGGCTATTTTCCATACTAGTTCACACTGTGGTGCTTCCAAACATTTTTTTCCAGTTTATAGGTTTTCTTGTTATTTCTAAGTGCCGGAATTAGATTTTTTAAATGATATTTGAGGTATACTGGTGTTGTCACTGCTTGCTTAACTTGCACTGTGTTATTGAATAGTCTGTTGTGGTGCCCTAATAGGTAGGCAGCAAACTGGGCTTCTGGGTGTTCTAACTGGATTAAGTTACCTGTGAACTTTGTCCCTATTGCTGTTAGGTGTTTGTCAAATTCTATAATGTCTATCCCCCCCCCCCCTTTCAGTGGAGAGAATGATCACTTCTCTTTTAACTAGTTTGTATTTGTTTGACCAGATATGTCTGTAAACTATTTTGTTTATTTCTTTTACTTTAGTTACTGGAGGTGGGTATACCTGTCCTACATATGTGAGTTTTGCTAGTGCTACTTGTTTCATGGCTTGTGCTTTAGCAAGTAGGGAGATTTCTCTCTCTTGCCATAGTTCTATTGTTTCACTTAGTTTTTGTGTTAAGATATTCCAATAAATTCCTTTGAGTTTTGTGTGCTATAACATATACCTAGGATTTTTACCAGGTTCTGAGTCAATTTGAGACCAAACTGATTTGTTGTTGGATTTTTACTGTTCAGCCAGAAGGCACATGACTTAGTCCTGTTTACTTTTGCTATTGTGGCAACACTGTACTCATTAGCTATTTCTAGACTATTCTCGATGGACTGAACTGTGCTTAGTGTGAGTGTTACATTATCTGTGGTGTGAGTGGTAACCTTCTGCTCTAACACTGAGTTTCTTGGAATGGGGTTAACCTTGATGTACTGGCATTGATTTATAGAAGAAAGTAGAGTATCAATTACCAGGACAAAAAGGACAGAGGACACCCCTGTCTTACCCCAGAGCTGACAGGAATTACCCTGGATAAGTGACCATTGACATTAACTGTGGTCATGATATTTGTGTATACTGCTTTCTTCCAGTTAAGTATGTTTACTGGGAAGTTATATTTTTGTAATACGAAAATATATGGTCAAATGCTTTCTCATGGTTGATAGTGATTGTACTTGCTTGAGGTTCAGTTTTACTGTACATTTGTATTATGTCCCAGATTAAACTGGTGTTGCTTTTTTATGTTTCTATTTTGAGTGCTTCAGGTTTGTGTGTTGCTAACAATATTTTCAATAACCATTTTTATTCTATTACTAATGCACTTTGTAAGGATTTTGTATCTGTATTACTTAAGGTTATAAGTCTGAAGTGGGCTCTTCTCTTTTGTTATGTAACGTGATTATTCCGTGTCTGAACATGGGCAAAAGTGTATTTTTGTTTAGGCTGTTATTAATAATTTTTGTGAATTTATCTCCTATTTCATTCGCGTAAGTCTTACAGAATTCTGTTGGTAGGCCATCTGGGCCTGGTGACTTATTACTTTTCATGTTTTTTAATGCTTCCCAGCATTCTTTTGTTGTCAATGGGCCTGATAGTGTGTTACTTAGTATTGCATTTAGTTTTTTAATGTGTTTAGCTATTCCCTTTATCCAGTTTGTATATTTCTGAGAGTATAATTCTTCAAAGTGATCTACTGTGGTATTTAACATGTTTGGTGTATCTGTGTGTTCTGTTCCATTTTTGTCTGTGAAGCTGCATGAGCCTGTTCAGTAGCATTGAGATGAGCACACTTTGTAAGACTATTTTATACTTATGCAACCAAAGTCTGTTCCATGTAGTTGTGGTGTGCACATGTTACATATGGATCAATTGTACATGACATGGTGCCATCGTCCTGTGGATTAGAATCTGTTCAGTTAAGTTGAGGTGAGCACTCATCTTACAATATCTATTATATACATACATATCTGATATGTTCTCCAGCAGCCAATGTCTGTTTAATAGAGTCATTATGAGCACACTTTATACTAGTCCATACTGCATTACTATACTACCTTTCCCTGTAGCTGAAGTCAGTCCTGTAGAGTCTGACAATAGGGTTGAAGCATGCATACACTATACAAAATCTTGATGTATCCATAATGTGCCCTCTTCCCACAGTTGAAGTCTGTCCAATAGAGTTGAGGTGTGCACACACAATACAAAACTGTGATGTATCACTAGCATACCCTCCTCACATAGTTGGAGTCTGTCCTGTAAAGTCTGATTGTAGAGTTAAGGTGAGCACATAGATACTTATTATATGTGCCCTCCTCCTACAGCTGGAGTCTGTCCCACAGTGTCTGATGGTAGAGTTCAGGTGTGCACACACAGTATGGTCTGATTGCACCATAACAAGACTACACATATTGGCCTGTCTGACAACTTGTGTGCAAGTACTCAAATAGTCATGTTCACAATCCACCCATCCCTGTGACACAAATTTAGCTTCTTTTCCTCTTCCCATTTCTTATACAGGCAAAGAGTATACCATGAATAAAACAATATGCTGTCTCCCACAGGTGTGCCCCAATGGAGCCCTTGCCATCAGGTGTCACATCACATGGGCTTTCATCAGGCGCTTTCTGAAAGGAGCTCATCTAGGTAAAACTTGCACTGGCTCTTCCACCAATTCAGTGTGGGATTCTAGCTAAATCTGTGTGTGTAGTGAGGTATCATCTTGGATATTAACATTTTCCTTATCTGAAAATGTTTTTCTAATAGATACTTCTGTACACATTACCACCAGTTCTCCCCACTTCCATTGCACATTCTCTTCCTTGCTTAATCAAACAATTAAGTTTATGTGAGTGCAAATGCATAAGGAGTTATTATGCATGGAGGTGTTTCACCATCCTGTTGGTGGAGGGCTTTGTCACATTATTGCTTCATCATGCAGTATCACAATTCATGTTAAGTCATGTGAAATTAGGTGGGTGTTGTCCCAAGGCTATTGGCATAGAAATCTCTTTCTTTTTGGCAGACTCATGAGAAAGATAGCTAGTTAAATCTGTGTATGGAGGTGAGTATCTATTGGAAATGCATTTTTAGGTAAGAAAATGTTAAAATCTGAAATTCTTTTTATGAATATAGATCACTTCATTGGCCATTATTAGCACCAAGGATGGTTCTTGTATAGAAATGTACCCACTACATCATGACCTTCAGTGCATGTTTGGTGTAGTTGCTGTAGGAACCTCTGGTGGACAGGTTTTTCTACTGGATTTGAATTTAGATGATGAAACCTATTATAGTAAGTTAGCTCCATATCTGGCAGTTACGATCACTCTAAAGAATCACAGCATTCCAGGGAGGCAGGAAAACAGCATAAGACACAATCAGCATCTTTCTTTGCTACTTAATGGTAAGAGAGTAATAGTATCCATCATTAGAAAAACCCTAGATGTGTCTTCGATAACGATGTATGAGTTTCACAGAGATAAACACAGAAATGTTTAAGTAACATCTAAATGTTTAAACACTTACAATTCCAGTCATGGTTAATGTGCACTTAAGGTTTTTTTGGTATATCAGAGTTCATTTTTCTAAATGATTCTAGTAACTCTAAGAAATTTAACAGTTGAATAGAACTGCTTAGTAGCCTAACCTGTAAACCCTGAAGGCTCTTGATCATTCTAGGAGAGCTTTCAAGGACATAATTTTCCAGAAACTTGAAAAATCCTAGGAGTAAAAAATCGTGCTCTCTGGCAATGATTTTGAGTTTTTTAAAAATGAAAAATTCACACAAACTTTTTAAAAAATATAATTAAAACTCATCACAAAATTCATTTTCTTGTCATTCTAAATTAACAAATTTATATAAATTTTTATATTGTCATGTAGCTGTGAAGTGATAAAGTATACATAATTTTAAGAAAATATTTAAGTTAGTGTTCTAAGGAAGTATTATAAATATTTTTTGTGAAAGAAAGTATTATGGTGAACTATTTAAAAACAAAAATTATAGTTATTTAAAAGGTACATTAATTTCTTTGTTGCTAATAACTTCACTTATTGTCTATTCTGTTCATTGCTAATATTGGCATGCAGCTATGATTGCCATTTTGTTGTGAATTATTGATGTCTGACTGCATTCTCTCCTTTACTCTGTGATATTTTCTAGTAAAACTAATTTTCCTTAGAGTGATAAAAATATGTCTGCAGAATAATGGGAGATTCAAACAAAATATTTAATACAAAGTAATTCTGAATTTCTCTGAAACTGACTGGACACAATGAACAATCTTTATTACTTATAACACAAATACAGGATATAAACTTGCTTTGGATGCTGGACAGTCTCCTTCAATTGACTTGGGCTGCTCTCTCTCTAAACTGCACTCAGTGATAACTTCTACCAGATATACCAAAACTAACATTATTTACATAACTTGGTAACATAAGATGTGTGCATTACTAACATGACTGGTCATTCCCTTTCAAGCTCATGGGAGGTTATAACCTTGAGTCATCACCTGACTTACCATTGGAGGACACTGCTGTCTATATTTATATACAAAATGCAGTTTTAAAACCACAAACAAACCAGCTGTTATCTCAAGATGACAAAGAATAAAAGCAGCTAGAATGGAAGCACCTTAAAGATTTTCTTGAACACATGCAATGTGAAAATTGTATATACTAAAATAACAGACAGACTCCAAAATAGACTATATTAAAATAAGAATGTAGAAAATGCATGTCAAGCTTATATACCACAGCATTAAGCACACTGATTGTCTCATTTGACATGCGTTTTGTGACTTATGACTTGTGCTGTTTGGCCAAAAATGATATAAAAACAGTGCCTTT